GAAGGAAATTCTTTGGCACTCAAAACTTTTTCTTACAAGAATTGTCGAGGCGCACCCATGCCTAATAAGCCCTTGCTCTCTTCTACATGTTACAGATATGGATCGAATAGAACTTACCTCAATGGACAGGACCATGCACCGCCTTCAGCTGATAATAGTAACGAAACCTGACAATATTTACAAATTAGTGGAAAAACCACGACTACTCCGGCAGCAGCGAGATATGTCCGATATTTTTCTAAATTTAATTCCCCAGAAGGCTGAATATTTTTAAGGCATTACCGCATTACTGTAACTCTGTTCCCATTAAATATCTAAACTAGTGACCGATGCACTGCTGGAGTAGTTTCGGACCCATTTATTAGTCTGTTATTGGGCGTACCTCAACCAGGTCCATTGATACCTTGTTGGAGATCCTTACCATTATCCCCAAGGTGTCAACTGGTCATCAGGTGATTAGAAGAGGTACTCTTGCCAATAGAGAAGGCTAACTGCCTTCGGAAATTCGAACTGGGTGTCAACTGTGTCAATAAAACACGTGATCGAGTCAGGGCACTTGAAACCGAGATAAAGCATTCAACTCGAACAACAGAACTGCATCATACGGATGACAGGAATGATAATGATAAATAGACTGACAAAAAGGTCTTTTCTGCTAATAGAAAAAGGGTAAGTACCATTTCATCGGGTTACGTTATCCAGCTTTTGCTGGTAATGGCCGTGAGGACAAGAACTGTAAACTTTGAAAAATAAACGACAATTTATTCGCAACTGACTTGACGTGTCATACAGTCTTGATTTTCCTTAAACCGTTAAAAACTGTTACGCGACGCGGTCACACGATTAACGCGCATCGGTAGGCAATACGGGCGAAGCCCCATGCGAGCAAAGTCAGTCTTTTCAAATTCCATACGCTGTAATAATTAACTGACGTAAAAGCACATAACTAAACATGGTAACTCTGGCCTGGAGATTTTACAGATTTACTCAATTAGCGTTATGCAGAAAGTCTGTGTAGGACTGCTGAAAATTAAACGGGAGTGCAAAAAAACAATTATGGGCAATACATGTAAGTAACTTGTAAAATATTAGTAAAGAAAACGTGAAGAAGGAAAACCGTGAACAGCAGTGAACAGGTTAATATCAATGTGTACCCAGGAAATGGAAATTTATGAAAACTGTGAGCAGCAAGTAACAGGATAAGAAAAACGAAAATGGAAAGAAAAAATCTTGAAAACATGTTATGGGAGTTACAAAACTGGAGAAAGAATGGCCACGTGAAAAGTTACAGTTTGATTAAGAAGCTACATACGTGTTCAATAAATAGACCAAACCACAAAGAAACAAGTGAATTCGACAAAAACAAGAAAAGGGGAAGATTTTCACCTTCGTCTAACCTAACGAGAACAATATGAAATGGTTAAAAGAAATAGTTGATCACTTCATGGACGTCGCAGATCAGCTGCAAAGATAAAGTGCACTGACAGAAATTAATGAATTCCTCAAATACGTATAATAATGGAAAAATACTTGAAATAAGCCATTGTCTCCATCAAATCATGTCAGGGTCACCGGAATAAACACACAGTACAGCTCTTGATCTAAAAGTTTTATTCCTTTGACGTACAAATTCACAAAAAATTTACACAGCCCTTGCCTCCAAGCATGCAAAGCTTATTAAAGATGGCGGTCCAAGTCAGGGTTATTTATGTAATGCACATGGGCATGTTGTGGTTGTAGCTGTTCGCAT